GTCTGAAGAAGCGTGGCAGGCCTCCCTGAGTTCACCGGTGGCCACGCGCACAGACCGTGGGAAACCGACGGCACAAGCGACAGAGGCAGCTACACGACACTCTCAGGTGACCCCGCTGTTCCCCGCGCCCCCCTCTCGGCTCAGACCGTGGGCCTACGGGGCCCCTTGGCACCAGCAGACAGAGAGGAACACGCCGGAGCCCGATGTGTGGATTGTGAAGCTTAGGATGTGCGTGCCACCCCAGCAGGCAGCAGCTGAGTGGAGCCTCCCTCCAGGGAAGCCCGAGAGGCAGTGGTGAGGGGAGGTCCTCTCCAGGGCAGCTTCCGGCTGCGCCCACTTGTGTGGGAGGAGATGTGCCTGGGGTCGTTGAAGGGGACCTGGTAGCGGTGGCGAATGTCTACGGGTCAGCTTCCTGGAAACACTGGTGGCTGATAAAATGAACACCCATAAGCTTTTTTTTTTTTTAAATATATTTTATTGATTTTTCACAGAGAGGAAGGGAGAGAGATAGAGAGCTAGAAACATCGATGAGAGAGAAACATCGATCAGCTGCCTCCTGCACACCTCCTACTAGGGATGTGCCCGCAACCCAGGTACATGCCCTTGACCAGAATCGAACCCGGGACCCCTCAGTCCGCAGGCCGATGCTCTATCCACTGAGCCAAACCGGTTTCGGCTATCCATAAGCTTTTTATTAAAAAATTATGTTTATTGATGTCAGAGAGGAAGGGAGAGGGAGAGAGAGAAACATCAATAATGAGAGAATCATGGATCGGCTGCCTCCTGCACGCCCCCCACTGGGGATGGAGCCCACAAACCCGGGCCTGTGCCCTGAATGAGAATCGAACCGTGACCTCCTGGTTCACAGGCCGACGCTCAAGCACTGAGCCACGCCGGCCGGGCCTCATAAGCTTTAAGCACTTCATATTTTCATAAAGTTTGTCCAACTCAGCCTTTTTTTTTTTAAGCTCCACACATCTTTTCACCACCATCAGTTTTTTCACATCTTAGCAGATTCCACTTCAGGGTGTAGTGAGTTGGTGTTTTCTCAGCGTCTCCCACAAATACTTGCCTTGGTTTCGTGCAGACGCCTCACAGAGCCTGGGTCCTTCAGTCACTTCCAAGTTGGCAGCCGCCCCCTTGGACGGGCAACAGCTGAGCGGTATTGGCGACATCTGCCGGCTCGTTAAGAGCCAAGGAAACCCACTCGAAACCATCTGGCTCGCCTTTAATTGACTATTGATTTTATTCCCAGTGTCTTCAACTCCTGGCACTGCTCTCTCACGGAAAGGCTAATAGTGTTAAGTTTATTTTCTCCGGACACAGGTTTTTTCTCTTCCAGTGGCTACAATTAAACATGATTTAATTAACTCGCCACTCGTCAACATCTCCTCTCGCCCGGCGAACGAACGAGCAGTTGGGAAGCTGCTGGCAGACTCTCCCGTCTTTTATTTTCGGGAAGACAGTCTGCTGGGATGAGAGTCAACGCGGAGCGCGGCCACGTTTCATGCTCAGCGCTCTCTTGGGAGCCAGGACCCTGTGGGCGGAGAGAGGTCTGACGCCGTATTGTTAGCGCAGCCGAGTGCCTGCGCCACGCGCACGGTGCCGGCCTTTGTCTTCAGTGAGACCTGCAAGGCCCACGTCCCCCCCGTTTCCAGTTTTGACAGGATGGGTAGGCACTGGCCACGGAGAATAAGCCACAGCCTAGCAGTGCGTGTGGCCCGCCAAACACTGGGTGCTTTGCTGTGTGCAACCGATGGCAGACTGGGGCGTTCTATGGGCCAACTCGTCTTATGCCGGGATCCCTAAGACCCACTCTGAGATGGAAGTTGGCCTGTGCTCTCGTAAGGAAGTAAGGAGTACAATAGTGGGCGAGGAACGAAGCTGACCTGTAACCCCTGCACACTGACCCCAGCCAGTCCTACAGAACGCGTGGCGGCTGCGAGGGCTCGTTCAGAATCGTTCCCAGTTCAGGGGGGGGGGGGGGGGGGGGCGCGGCCTGGCCTTCGTTTTCTCCTGCACGCCTTTGCCAGGGCTGCCGTAACCAAGTGCCATCCATGCGTGGCTCAGGGCAGCAGGCATTGGTTGTCTCACTCTCTGGAGACCAGGAGTCCAGAATCGATGTGCTGGCAGGGCCGTGTTCCCTCTGAAACCGGAGGGGGAGGATCTTTGCTTCCTTCCGGCTCCTGGTGGGGCTTTTGGCGTCTTTGGAGTTCCTTGGCTTACAGATGCATCACTCCAATCCCAGCGATGCCAGGTGTCCTTTCTGCAGTCTGGCAGCTTTTGCTTAGCTGATTTTTAAAGATTCAGGATGGAGGTTTCTTGGATTTTTTTCTTCTTCTAGAAACAATGAGACTCGGAAGCATCAGAAAAGCATGTCAATGCTAGGGTCCATGTTCAGAGCTGAGTCTCTGAGTGAGGCAGGGCTGGGACCAAGTGTTGGCTCCGTGGCTGATCCGCTGGGAGACCAGGGTGAGCCAGGTAAGGTCTCTGCACTTCATTTTCCTCAACTATGAAGTGCAGGGATGTCATTACTCCCTTGATCTTGCCAAGGACATTAGAACGAGGGACTAGACCAGTGATGGCGAACCTATGACACGCGTGTCAGAGGTGACACGCGAACTCATTTTTTTGGTTGATTTTTCTTTGTTAAATGGTATTTAAATATATAAAATAAATATCAAAAGTATAAGTCTTTGTTTTACTATGGTTGCAAATATCAAAAAATTTCTATATGTGACACGGCAGCAGAGTTAAGTTAGGGTTTTTCAAAATGCTGACACGCCGAGCTCAAAAGGTTTTCCATCACTGCTCTAGGCTCTGGGTGACTGATGTGGGTCTTCTTAGAGTGGAAGAAAGGCCTTTTTCTTTTCTTTCTTTTTTTTTTTTACTGTGGCCTTTCGCAATATATGAGAAGCACCTGGCAATTAAACCCCAAGATTGTTAGCTCCTCTGGTTCAAACAGCCCCTCTGTTCAAACTGAAGGACAACATAAACTACTCTCAAGGCTACATTCTTACATACATACCCTCCTCCCTGCTGGTTTACAACCCAGGGATAATTAGTAGAAAGTTCCCTTTCCCCCTCCTCTTCAAACAAACCTCCTGCATTGAGTGCCTGCCCCCTGGTGGTCAGTGTGTGTCATAGCGACCGGTCGTTCCACAGTTCGGTCGATTTGCGTATTAGGGTTTTATTATATAGGATATCGTCGCTTAAATGAATTAAATTCGTTGAGTGGACACCAGCCAGGCTTTAGTGCGTATCATGACGTACTTTTGTGTCCCTGGGTCAGTGTTTGGGGTGGTCTTTGTAGGCAGCACGCCGGCCACTGTGCCAGGAGAGAAAGGACAGGTATCCTAGGTTTTCCTCCAGCGGCTCTGCTGCTGGGCAAGGTCCTGGTGCTGAGTCACAGGTGCCCTTGTGACGTCATGGCTCTCCCCCTTTATCTCTCCTGCCCCCAGAGCTGTGGCTGGAGAAGCTCGGACCCGAGAGGGATGGGAACATCTAGCCCCTGACCATGGGTAATTCAGTACAGATCTGAGGCCATCTGACCATCTAGCCCAAGTCCTGAGCCAGCGTTTAAGGTTTTGTGAGTTGCGTTCAGATCCACCCAAGCACTGCCCAGAGTTCCGGGGGGGCGGGGGCGGTTCTCCCCCAGGTGTGAGGTCCTAGGACAGGCAGGAAGCTGAGCGTGGGGTTGACTTGGCACCCAGTCGGGGGGAGGGCACTTTTACTTTTTCCCGTGGTTTTCTCTCTAGACCAGCGGTTCTCAACCGGTGGGTCGCGACCCCTTTGGGGGGTCGAACGACCCTTTCACAGGGGTCGCCTAAGACCATCGGGAAACACATATATAATTGCATATTGTTTTTGTGATTAATCACGATGCTTTAATTATGTTCAATTTGTAACAATGAAATTGGGGGTCACCACAACATGAGGAGCTGTATTAAAGGGTCGCGGCATTAGGAAGGTTGAGAACCACTGCTCTAGACGCTGATTACAGAAAGTTAGCAAACCTTCCGCATTTCATCATGATCTCCCACTGGAGATCATGCTGAGATCACATTGCTCGAACAGAGCTAGAAGGGGCAAGAGCTAGGAGAAGGGACTCCACCCTCCTTCCGTGGGGCTCAGACTCGACTGGGTTGGGGAGAGCTTCGACCTGTGACATCTCTGGCCCTCGCGGCCCGGTGGAGTGACCCAAAGGCGGATGCCCATGTCATGTGCTGTCGAGAGACGCCAGCGAGTGCACGAGGCACTTCTCAACATGACACCAGGACGGGAGGCATAGACCCAGGGTGTGCCAGGCCGGCGGGTGCATGGCCCCAGCCCCCAGAGCCGGGGTGAGCGGGGACTGGCTGGCCACCCCCCCCCCGCCCCGTCTCCTCCTCAGGCTGAGCGATGAGGGTCTGGCCAAGGTGTGTGCTTGTGCCGGGGAGGGGGCCAAAGAGTGTGAACCCAGAGCCCATGGGGTTGGGAGCTACAAGGTGGGGACTGTGTGTGGGGAATGCAAAGGCCAATGTGCAGGAAGACTGGGGCTGGAGCGTGTGTGTGTGCATGTGTGCACGTGTGTGCATGTGTGACATGTGTGATGTGTGCATGTGTGCACGTGGGAGTTTGTACTGATGTCTTTACTAGGGTTTAAGCTCTTTTAAAAAATATTTTTATTTCAGAGAGGAAGGGAGAGGGAGAGAGAGAATCATGGATCGGCTGCCTCCGGCACACCCCCCACTGGGGATTGAGCCCCCAATTCGGGGCCTGTGCCCTTGACCAGAATCGAACTTGAGACCCTCCAGTCCACAGGCTGACGCTCTATCCACTGAGCCACACCAGCCGGGGCAGGGGTGTCTGTTGCTAGAGGATCGGGGCGCCTTCCTGGAGCACCTGAGGGCGGACACGCGGGTTTCCTAAGTGTCCTGTGTTTTTCCTCCTGACCAGCTTCCTCAGCACCAACCAGAAGGAGGAAGATCATGCCGACCCCTCAGGCAGAGACACCCGAGGAAGCGGCCGCTCAGGCGGCGGCCCTGCTCATCCAGGCCTGGTGGCGGGGCACCCTGGTGCGCCGGACGCTGCTGCACGCCGCGCTCTGCGCCTCCATCATCCAGCGCTGGTGGAGGCAGGTGCTGCGGGAGCTGCCATTGTTGAAGCAGAAGAGGCAGCTGGAGGCCTACACTCAGCAGACGTGGGCGGCGGTCAAGCTGCAGTCCTGGTTCCGCATGTGGCGCGTCCGCCTCCGTTACCTCCGCCTGCTGCAGGCCACCCGCATCATCCAGCTGTACTGGCGCTACGGTCAAGCTGCAGTCCTGGGTCCGCATGTGGCTCGTCCGCCTCCGCTACTGCCGCGTCCTGCACGCCGCCCGCATCATCCAGCTGTACTGGCGCTGGCACAACTGCCCCACCCGGGGCTGCATTCAGGGCAATTACGACCTGACAGAAAAGCAACTGAACCTTCACCTCGAAATCTCTTTGGGTTCGCAGGTCTACAAAATCCATCAGTCCATCCCTCTCCCAATAAAGGGCATGCCAGATCTGTAATTCCCGCGTCCCCGGCTCTGTCAGATCCATTTCAAGGGGGTCGTCGAGCTCATGGCGGCAAATACGGGCGTCTCCTAAATCAGCGCCCAGGCAGTGGCCGGGGTTCTGGGGGGCAGGGTCTTGTGTGGAGGAGGGTGGAGCCCCTGGGGCTGGAGGAGCAGGGCCAGGGATGGATTAGCAATGTCTGCCCTGGGCAGGAGCCTTGGGGCTGCGCCAAGTCGGCCAACCAGGGACACCCCTTCCCCATGGGGTCTGGATAAATGGTATGGTCAGTCATTTTACAACCTGTGTCATCTTTTAAAATATACTCTTTTTTTTTCTTGTCAGTTTTTTTTTAATTTATTTTTTTATTGCTTAAAGCATTACAAAGGGTATTACATATGTGTCCTTTTTTTCCCCGCCCTTGACATTTCCCTGGCTTCCCCTACGCCCCAGTGTCTTATGTCCATTGGTTATGCTCATATGCATGCATACAAGTCCTTCGGTTGATCTCTTCCCCCCCTCCCTCCTGCCCCCCAACCCTCCCCGGCCTTCCCACTGCAGTTTGACAATCTGTGTGAGGCAGCTCTGCCTCTGTATCTATTATTGTTCAAAAGTTTATAATGGTCTCTATTATCCATGAATGAGTGAGATCATGTGGTATTTTTCCTTCATTGACTGGCTTATTTCACTTAGCATAATGCTCTCCAGCTCCATCCATGCTGTTGCAAATTGTAAGAGTTCCTTCTTTTTTACAGCAGCATAGTATTCCATCGTGTAGATGTACCACAGTTTTCTAATCCATTCATCTACTGATGGGCACTTAGGCTGTTTCCAGATCTTAGCTATGGTGAATTGTGCTGCTATGAACAGAGGGGTGCATATATCCTTTCTGATTGGTGTTTCTGGTTTCTTGGGATATATTCCTAGAAGTGGGATCACAGGGTCAAATGGGAATTCCATTTCCAGTTTTTTGAGGAAACTCCATACTGTCTTCCATATAAAATATACTCTTTTTAAATTGTGGTAAAATATACATAACATTTACCATTTTTTAAAAATGTTTTTTTTTTAAAGTTGATTTTTAGAGTGAGAAGAAGGGAGAGGAAGAGAGAGATAGAAACATCAATGATGAGAATCACTGATCGGCTGCCTCCTGCATGCCCCCCCCCCCCCTGGGGATCGAGCCTGCAACCCAGGCAAGTGCCCTGACCCAGAATGGAACCGTGACCTCCTGGCTCATAGGTCAACGCTCAGCCCCTGAGCCACACAACATGTACCATTTTAAGTAGACAGCTCGTTGGCATTGGTTATATTCACTGTGTTATTGAGATGATCAGCACCATCCGTCTCCAGAACGTTATTCGTCTTGCAGAACCGAAGCTCTAGGAAGCGTTCCCCACCCTCCCCGCTCCCCAGCCCGGCAACTGCCAAGCTGCCTTTGCTACCCGTGACATTCACTGATCAAATGCCTCACACGAGTGGAACCCTCCAGTGTGTGTCCTCCTGTGACTGACTGCTTTCCCTTGGCCCAGTGTCTTCGAGGCTCATCCTGCCGTGGTCTGTGTCCGCATCCCTTCCTTCCTCGGGCTGGCTCCTCTCCGCTCGGTGCAGAGCCCACATTCCGACCGGCCCTTCCTCCGCGGACGGGCACAGGAGGATCTCCCGTCGCTCGGCTGGTGTGAGTCGTTAATGCTGCCGTGGACATGAGTCGCAAAGACCTCTGAGACGCTGCGTTTGATCCTTGTGGGTATGTACCCACAAGTGGAATGGCTGGGCCAGATAATTCAATTTCTTTAACAATATATTTTTATTGATTTCAGAGAGGATGGGAGGAGAGAGAGAGAGAAACATCAATGATGAGAGAGAATCATGGATCGGCTGCCTCCTGCACACCCCCTACTGGGGAACCAAGCTCACAACCCGGGCATGTGCCCTGACCAGGAGTTGAACCGTGACCTCCTGGTTCACAGGTTAATGATGCTCAACCACGGAGTCACGCCGGCCGGGCCATATAATCCTACTTTTAATTTTTTGAGGAACTGCTCTGCCAATTTCCGCGGCATCTGTACCATTTTCCATTCTGTTGGGGGTATTTGAAAGGTAAACAGGAAAGAGAAAAGAAAGGAATCCGAGAATGCAACTCTAGGAAAAGCCATCTGGGCAAGAGGAGAGGGTTGGTAACGGTGAGGTCTAGCCCCACGCCGCCCGATGGAATGGTTAGTAGCTATTGAAACTTAATTTAAATGAAACAAAATTAAAAATTCAATTCTTTAGCTGCACTCCTAGGCACATGTTGCTGCTGTTAATCCTCACCTGAGAATATTTTCCCATTGATTTTTTTTAGAGAGAGTGGAAGGGAGGGGGAGAGACAGAGAGAGAGACACATCATGTGAGAGACACACATTGATTGGCTGCCTCCTGCACATGCCCTGACCGGGGCTGGGGTGGAGCCTGCAACCGAGATAGGTGCCCTTGACCGGGGATTGAACCTGGGACCCTTCAGTCCGCAAGCTGACGCTCCGTCCACTGAGCCGAGCCGGCTCGGGCAGCAGCAGGCACATTTACCGTCCTCCACACCCACGCGTGACTAGTGGCTGCAGCTAGGACAGCACAGAGGCCGACATCACCGCGCTCCACGGAGCGGCCTGTTGACGGTGACCAGAGGCGGGTGGCCGGGGAGCATCCCAAGGGTCGTCAGACACAAGAGTTGGGAGACGGGGAGGGACATCTTGGCTGAGGGTGAATCAGCAGGAACGGAGACAAGGCAGGGGTTTGGGGAATACGGAGGAATCCGCCTGCCGCTCGGCCGTGGGGAGGAGTCCGGGCGAGGATTGTGGGTGCAGATGAAGGGCCTCGAACCCGTTTCCTACCAGTGCCCGGGTTCCCACCTGCCCGTCAGCATGCCCAGTGCCCCGCCCCACAGAGGCCAGCCCCTGCCCTTCCCTGCGGCTGTCACCTGCTCCCAGGAGTCAGCCAGGAGTTGGCGTTTTCCTAGGTTCTGGCCAGAGAGACCCTGTCGGCGTGTCCGGGCACCAGGCTGACAGAGGGGCCCGGAGCCCATTCTCCTGGGCAGAGGACCCCACAGGCTACAGGAGGGGTGTCCCTCACATCCTGGCGGGGGGGGCCTGGGGACTGGCTCTGTCATGTGTCGGCTTAGACCTGGACCACAGTGTCTGTCTGATAACCAAGTCAGCAGCATCCGTTCATTGTTGGTTCAGAACCGGGGCCTCACGGGAGGCAGCGGGGAACCTCACGGGACTTGTTTTCCCGGGAAGAAGAGGCGGCGGCAGGCCCGCGTCCTAACCTTTCTATTCCCCGGGGGTGACCACGCGACAGCACATCAGGTCAGACCTTTACTGGGGACAGAGGCTCCGTGTCCCTGCCCCGCGGCCTCAGGGGTTGGTGATCTCGATGTGGAACTGCAGGTGGGTGGCGGTGACCACGCAATGCCCCCGGAGCAGCGCGCAGGTCTGGCAGTGGTGGCTCTGCCAGTGGCCACGGATGATGTAGATGGCGTTGAGCACCTGGCAGTATCGCCAGTGGACGCGCCACATGCGGACCAGAGACTGGAGCTTGACCACCGCCCTCTCCCGGATGGCGTAGCTCACCAGCGCCTCCCGCCGCCTCCTGTGCAGCAGCTGCGGCAGCGTCTGCCGCCACCAGCGCTGGATGGTCC